CATTTCTTTTCCTTAAATTTGCATTTGAAATCTTGTCAAATCATAATCATTACTAATTTTCCTCATGTAATGATTATGTTACTTGTCTGTCTTAAAGAATAGTCTAAGTATTTAGGTTATGTTTAATGTGTTAACTAAAACCTAGTTGTTGTTAATAGTTGAAAAGTTACCTTATAAAAACTAATGTTTGGTAAAACTAATTAATAAGATAGTCAGGAAAGGAGATTTAAAAAAATATATATTTCTATAATTAATTAAGGGGTATATTGGAAAGTTTTTAAAAAAAACTCTTCAAAATCTAGTAGTTCTTTAAAATAAATAAATAAATAAATAAATAAAACTAGCTTATAGGCTTACCAAACACAACTTAAAAAAACTCAAAACGTAAAATAGTTTATGAGCTAGCTATGATATTCCAAACATAATCTTAGCATCTTATAATCAATATGTGCTTTGTGTGAAAATATTGTGTCAACAAACTAAAAGAAATTTTTTACATAATGGCTGCAAGGCAACTATATTATATCTATATCTATCGAGAAAAGGCACCAGAGCATCAATGATGTCTAGAAAATAAGGATGTTATCGTATGGTAGAGCATTGTTGAACAGGATACCAGGCATATCGGTTAGAACGTAAATTTCTTGGAGGCGGTGTCAATCACCAACAAATGAGGGAATGAAGATTGTGATGGTTTGAATGTATATATCGGAGATAACTGACGAATGCAGTTAGGAGGGGGGAGTTGGTAACTATCGATGATGCGGGGGTGAGAGTAAAACAACACCCCCCCCCCCCCCCAAAAAAAAAAAAAAAATAAGGACATTGAAAAGATTATGTGAAATTAGAGTTGAAATAGTTTGATCTCATTCATGTCCTTTACTTTCAACTTGTATTTTTAATGTATGTTAAAGTAGTATCTTATTGTATTCTGTTTTTTACTTTTTACTTTTATTTTTTGTGGCTCGTATATGTTTTTCTCTTTAGCCACAACGCTATTTCTTCCTAATTTTTGGTTGGCATTTGTTATTCAAAAGATCATATATTGGAAGTCATTATTTTTGTAATGTCGAACATAATCAATCACTACAAATAAAATGTCATTTAATAGCACGCAAAAAGTGCCACTAAATACCTAAAAAAGTGCCACTAAAGGTCTCTTAGAGAATCAGCGACACAATTACAAAGTGCCACTAGAAGCGCTCCCACTAAAACCTTTTAGTGATGCTTTTCGATTTTGTCGCTGCAGTGTTTTAAGTCTTTAGTGGCACTTTTTTATTTGTCACAGTAGACCAAAAATATTTTGTGGGATACATTTTGTGCCGGTAATTACTCGTGTCGTTCAAGAGGTTATTCCACTTTCGTTCAAGAGGTTATTCCACTTTTAGTGGCACTTATTATTTGCTACAGTGCATGAAAATATTTTGTAACATTTTGTGTCATAAATATCCATACAATTCTAGAATTAATGTTACTTATATACACAATTTTTTGCTATAATATAAATTATAGAAACTTATTATATTGTCATCCATGGAAAATAAGAAAAACTCCATTGAATTAAATGTTTGCATAAATGTCAAATAAGTCTAAATGTGGAAGAAAGTACACACTAAACATAAAAATAACTAATAAAAGAAATAAAAAAAACTTAAAACTTCATTATAGTGGAACTTATTCCCCAAACTTCATGCTAGTTTGAATCACCTCGTATTAGCTTTTTCTGGAATCAATACTTGTAACTTGCTGTCAAAAAATAAATAAAAACAATTCAAAATATAGTTAAATAAGTAACTACTCACATGGAGGGCTCATGTAGGAATCTGTGATTGAAATGACACCCCATTATTAGTAAATTTAATCATGAAGAACTTCATGGTCTTCTTATTTCTTACTTGTTACAACAATCAGGTTATGAAACAGCCTTCTACTTTTTTTCTTTGGCAATTGCTTTCTCGGAAAACGTCTATCTCTTCTTTGACCTCTTCCTACATAGAATCTACATTAAAGATTTAATTTTTTATTTTTCACTTTATGTCAACTACAAAAATCTAACCTTTCATCTGGCTCATTTACTACTTCCTCTTCTGGCTCTGATTTTGTAGTCAAACCAAGTAATTTGGTCAATAAAATCAACAAATCTTCATAGTGAAATTCAAATCAAGGTGAACCAGATGTGTTAGGCACCCTCTTTAGTCAGGTTAGTTTAGATAGGGGTAGTTTCGGAATCTAACAATTAGAGAGCATCTTATTAGTTCAGGAGAAATAGGGGCATTTTAGGCATTTTATGTTATTTAGTTTGTTAAGACAAATAGTTTAACCAATCTTCACAGTGAAATTCAAATCAAGGTGAACCACATGATACATACATCTTCATCAAAGTCACTATCAAAAACTTCTGTAACCTCTTTTTCTTCTACATAGTTTGTATCATCTTATTCGTAAAAAGAAAACATCCAAATCATGTAAACAAATTGTATAACCTAAAAGACACATTACAAGTTTCTTGTAGTTAGTTGATTACATCTTTCAAAGGATCTTGGTTCCATGGCTCATCATCCTCTTCAATTTCCTCATCAAACAACTCGGTCATCCTAAAAAAAAGTAATTAACATCCACAAGCATCTCTATAAAAACATCATCAATGATCTGTAATAATATACATGGACAAAATATTTTTCATTGCATTCTATATTTTTGTTATCACCTTTGGATTCAATTTCTAAATTCCTTTAGAGAATGTAAACGATTTAAGCAATAGGCAACTTTAAAGATTATGTAACAATCTAAGATAAGATTTAATGTTGATTAATAGTTGATGTCATTAGTGGCCGAAACTACTAAAAAAAATTAGTGAAATCAGTAAAAACACCCTAATTTAATATAGAAAATCCTCCAAGAGACCAAGACTTGCCATGACTAATGACTAATAGGCAATTGACGCTAGGATACAATTCAAGCAAGAATGTTTCAACTTTATTCATCTAAAGCTATCGATCCATCAAATTTAGCCTAAAGGACATCAATAATCTAATAGAAACATCAACATACAAGTTGAGGTGAGAAAATAAATTGTATACCTGAGATATACATTGAGAACAAAGAATTTAGGGCTAAAAAATATCATGATATTGCTGAGATAGAGATTCAGGCCATATAATCGAATTTGTATTCATGTATGTGCCAATCAGTCATTAAATGGTCACAATAGGGTGTCGTCGGCAAGAGCGTGCTGGAAAGGGCTTTGGTTGTCGGGAAGAGCACTTGAAATCAATGCCAATTACGAACAACGAATGAAATAATCTACAACCTTATGAACCCTAAGGAGGTTTGAATACCTGAAATTGACGACGATTACGTCGATAAAAAAAGATGGCGAAGTCGGGACATGTCAATTCGTCATCGTGAAGAGAGGAAAGGTAAGCGTCGATGATTCTCGTCGCCAGGAAGAGTACACGAATGTGCATTCGTCATTGTAAAGTTACCTAAGAAATATATAAAGCGATTTAGATTTTTATCGCTAAATAGTGATATATTAGTCGACTTTTTTACACAAATGAGTTGGATTGAGTTTTTTAGGGTATGTGCTGGTCTACTCAAGGGGTGTAAATGTATATTAAGATTTATCTGCCAAGTGAAATCAATAGTGGCATAAAAGATTAGTTAATTGACTTAATTCACTATAAAATATTTAGTGGCACATAATGGGCATATAATAATTTATATGTCACAAAATATATAATTTTTAGTGGCACTTCAAATCGTTATTTCACTAGCAAATATGAATATTAATGTCATAAAATGTTACGTGTCATTAAATCTATTGATTTTTATAGTGGCATATCTAATATGTCACTAAATACATATTATAGTGGCACAAATAAGATATACCATTAAAAATGTATGCCACTAAATGTCATTTAGTTTGTAGTGAATGAAATAGTCCCTTTACCTAAGGGTAGGGAAACTTAAGTATTCTTAATTTAAGGGTTGTGTTCTTAGGGCATCCATAATCCATTGAACTCTATAGAGTTCAATGCACATCATCCATTAAATAGCTATACAATACTATCCACAACTCATTAAACAATTATTCAATCCTAATCATCATTTTATTTCCTCTATGGAATCATTTAATGATCATTCAACTCTACTCCAATTCAACTCCACTCCATGTCATCATCCACACTCCATCAAACTCTTATTTAATCCTAATCAACATTCTATTCAATTCTTATATTATTTGCATTGTGGATGCTTTTATGTTTTATGTAGTGGCTGACATCTTTTTATTTGAGAGGTTATCAATGAAAGCAGTTTTTGTATCCTCATGTATACTGATGTTCCCCTCATTAATTTACTTGAACGGTTAACTAGATATGCATATGATTTAAAAAAGAATTTATTATTATTATTTTTTTTTTGATATCATACGTATATAACCTGATAACTTATTTTTCTGATAGACTCGGCAATAATGATCAATATAAGTTAGAAGTATATACTCATCACCATAATTTTTTAATCTGCAAGATGTATCCAAGCTCAAAACATTACTGATTACTTGAAGAAACGTTTACTTCCTTATAATTATAAAAAATACGTTAACTAATAATTAGATAACAAGAATTATTTGATTGAAATTGGAAAAAACACAAAGTAAAGTGGCAAATGTTAAGTTCCATCTTTAACTAACCAAAACTTTCCTTCCCAATTTTTTCCCACTTTCCAAAAACAATTGAAATCATTAGCATCAATAACACGAATATGTTTCAAAAAAAGAGTGGGCCCACCAAAGAGGCAAAAATAGGAAGAGTGAGAACACAAATAATCAATGAAGCCAATAGCCTCATAGAATTTCCATGCAATCTTGCCGATCTTTTCGCTATTTTTTTAATATATAAACATAGGAAAAAACCAAAATTTTAATTCTCTCCGTTTGCTTGTGTTCCTCAACTAGGTGTTTAAAACATTGTCGGTTCCTGTACATCTGATCGAAGATGGGTAGAGGAAAAATTGAAATCAAGAAGATTGAGAATGTAAGTTGTAGGCAAGTGACGTTTTCAAAGAGGCGTAGTGGTCTGTTTAAGAAAGCACATGAACTTTCTGTGCTTTGCGACGCTGTAGTTGGTATTATCGTCTTTTCAAATACCAGCCGCCTCTACGAGTTCTCCAGTTCTAGGTATAATTCAAAAACCAATGCATGTGATTAATTACGACTTGGGGTTCTTTGATTTCTTGTTTAATGAGGGTTTTTGTCGCACGAGTATTTGTTTTATGGGGTTTTGATGCTTCTGTTGAAGTTTCTGATTTAGGTTTTCTGTCTCTTAGGGTTTTGAAAGTTAAGATTTAATGGTTTCTGAATCTACGTGTTTGCTTTAGGGTCATTGTTCTTGTTGTAGGATTGTGGTTTGTTAGATCGAAAGTTTACATATTGTTTACTTAATATTCAGTTTCATAAAATCAAGTCAAAAGTAGAATCCATTCATATGCATTGCAAATTTGAAGTAACCATTTGATAAAGTTTAAATCTTTTGCAGCATGAGGGGAATAATCGATCGATACAACCGTGCAACAGGATCATCCACGTCACAAATGCAAGTTGAGACGGTAAACAGTCTTATATATATTTTCCCTTCCCGTACTTTATAATAGAATTTACAATGTCTCCATGTGGTAGACAAATCTATTTGTTCTAGGGTAAACAAAATCAGTCTCATCTCTTTCGGTTAAGAGAGTGTTAATTAATCCTCATTATGGTGTATGTTCTACTTTCAAAAAATTAAAACTAGGCCGAAATTTTTCAATGGGACCAAGTACCCGGTGCCTCTTAGACTATAGTAAGAGTTCTTGGTTTATATCATATCTTATTATGTCATATGGGTAGTGTTGAACCGAAGGAATATTAACAAAGTGTTGTCCAAGTTTTCTCGTTTAAGTAATCTAACGGACTTGAACTAATAAATGAA